TTTGTCCGCTGCGTGGCGCGCGAAACTCCCCGGGACGGTCCACGACAGAGGAAGGGTCGCGAGCAGCTGGCTACTGCCAGAGTTGTTCATCTTCTACAGCGACCTGACGTACGGGTCGTGTCCTTCGATTAACGCATGATGGGCCAGGTCTCGCGGCGACCGACCAGTCTGCTCGTGATTGGTGTGCCAGTCTTCGCAGTGCGAATCTTTGCAATGCCTAGCAAGTGCTGGATGCAGACATAACGCGCGCCCGTTATTTTTGGGGCAGAACGAAGGCGGGACATGGCGGAACGCGGCCGCCAAGAAATACCCAACCCACACGAGCCGCGCACTGGCATCGGTAACTGGCGAAGCACAGCGGATACGGTGGAACGTGAGTCAGGGTACCGACCAGTGGGGAATCGACGAACAGTGCATACAGCTCCACGCCCTCTGGACCCTACTGCGGTTTCAAGTGGAGCACCGCTTGCATGACCTGTCGGCCTCTCCTGCGTCGGACCTTGGGATCTATGGGTAGGGGATAGCTACCCGGTGCGACCCCCATCGCTCGTGGCAGGCCTCCTGGTAAGTGTTGCCCGGATCAGTTTGAGATGCGCCAAACAGGAGTTCTCGCGCGCCTAACTTGGGGGGTAGCCACCCGCCCAGAACGAGCCATGCCACCTTTTCGGAATCAGGGAGCTCGAGGAGTTGTCATGCGGCAGGAGGGGGGTGGGGAAATTATGTGGTGCGACGAATTATTTGGCGCGGCCCGCCATGGCCTGGGGCGTGTCCGTTGACGAGCGATACCTCGGGCGAGCGACCAGCTGACCGACCAGATTGCGCCCCCAGCCTAGACAGTCGAGTTCAAGGGGAATTTCCCACCAATCGCGTGAAACACTGCACCGCAGAAACTTGGCTCGAGGTTTTCCGCTTCGCCGACTCCTTCCCGACCACCGCGGCGCCTCGCGCCCGGGGGGTCGCCGTGCCGATGGAACCGCTGGTGGACCTACAATAAGGCAGTTTTTTAATTGACAACGTTGAACCTTGCGACGCCACCGTCAATTACAACGTCTTCCAACGTCAATTGCGGCCGAAGATCACCGCCGCCACGGACGCAGAGGTCAGGATTGCCGCAGGCACCGAGGACTACGCCGCGCAGACCGCGGAAGGAGTCGCGCAGCTGTAAGAACACGGCCGCGAGGACATCGCGCCATGTGCGGCGCCTGAAGTCCAACAAAATGATCAACCGAAGGTCTTTCACTGCCAACGCGAGTGACAGAGAGTCGGGCCACTCGACTGCAGGCCACTTGGGGCCGCGAGACTAGACCTATCCTTCGCGACGCCCGCGGCGCGAGCACCAGTCCCAGCGCGGTTTAACTTGGGCTCCGAGGTACTCGCACAGGAGTTTACCTACGCGGCGCTGGCAGTGGGGCCATGCTACGTGCCAGCGATGGCGCCAAGTGGATGGATGAACACCCTGTGCAACCACCGCTCTACGCTCGCCTACTTGGGCGCCGCCAACCAAAGATGGAGACATAACGCCGGCGCCAGCAGTGCCGGCGCCGTGAGGAGCTTCTTCGGCGGGGGCCGAATTTGCGCAAGCACCAGCGACCCCGCAGGTCATTGGCCTGCCAGACCGGTTCGCCTGCCCCACTACCGCAACGCCGTCCGGAAAACATACCAACCGCGACGGCGTCGCGAGAGATACGCTGGATGCTGGGGCTCTCCCTCGTGGCACTTGCCGTGGGATCGGGAAAAGGACGTCGCCGAGGCCGACCTTCTCTATTTCGGCCCTCCCCAGATGGGGCCCAACGGCGCGGTGGTGACCGACCTGGAGCAAATCCGCGAATTCCCCCCGTCCAGCTCCGCAACCTCAGACGGACCCCGCAGACGCGAGCAGGACAACGCGCCGCCAAGGACGATCCCAACGGGGACCTTGTCCCGCTACTTGAAGACGACGACAACGACGAGCTGTAATGCTTCCAGAACTACCGGGCAGAGCACCGCGTTCCCATCGACCGCTCCGACGAATTCGAAGTCTGACACGAATTCCAGCTGTGGCCACTCCCCGGAGGAAACCCGCAGCGGCCATGCATCGGCAACGTGGAGTGGCGTGCGCCAGCAGACGTGTTGGTCGAAGACGGGGCCACGACAGTGTCGATCGTACGCGGCTATCCCCCTCCTCAGGAACGTTTGCCCCTTGGAGGGGGGGGGGGTCAAACTAGCGACCCAAACGACTCCAGGGGCGGTCGCCCTTGAGTCGCCGGCTGCGGAGACGAAAACAAACGGCAACACGAGAGCAGCAGAGAAAAAGGGGGAAGGAAGGATCATAACCTCGAAGGAGGGAGATGCGGTGAAGGCGTGGCGGCGGCGCGGTGACGAGGGCAGCGTGGCCCCACCCGAGGGACCCTCGCCCGCCGAGGCAGGCGATGAGTTCCAGTTGTTGGGGATGGGGCCTATCCAAAGGTGCCCAGTAGGGAGGCGGAGATTTGCGCCATCGGCGGTGGCGGCCGCTGTTGTTGCGTCCCCGTCCCCCCCCACTGTAATGGCCCACCCAACCCGAATTGCTCTATGGTCAGTGTAGCACGCTAGACTAGTGTGGGACTGCAAGTTCATGCGCGAGATGCGTTGGCTTTGCCCGTGCACCTGAGGGCACCTGCGGCACAGAACGTAAGATAGAGGCGGGAGCGCGAGCTCGTGCGCGAGAAGTGCGCCTGCTGCGGCGCCAAGGTTGGCCGGGGTGTTAGAGGGCCACGCTCGTCAGGGCGTTAAGGGGCCGCACATAGGCCTCTCCTCTCGCCCATAGTAGATCCCGTGTGGGTCTGCCCCAAGTCGTGGCCAAAGAACCCTCGCCCGCCCGCCGAGGCGGGCGAGGGCGCCGGGCCATGGGCACGACCTGGGGGTCACCCAGGGGGCCACACCGGGTACAAGAAGGCACGTGCCATCTGGAGGCGGTGCCCCCCGGTGGTAGGGAGGCCACCTCGGCGGCTAGCCATGCACTGCAACGGGGAACCAGGGGCGATGCGTGAAAATAAACATTGGTGCGAAGTGAAGGCTGTGGCGCCGGCAGGCGGCATCGGTGAGGCGGGGAGGTGCGATGTGAGTTGGTGGTGGGCGTGCGCCGCGGCAGCCATGGCCCCGGCATCCACGTGTCCCTTCCCAGACCAGGTCTCAATGCCGCCCTTCTGTCCCTCCGCCACAAGAGAGGGCAGGCGAACTTTAGTTGGGCGAACAGTAGGGTGGGCCTGCTGACGTAAAGGTGGAGCCAGGAGGGAGTGAGGGTTGGCAGGGGTTCCCTCCCAGTAGCGGTTAGCATAGCATACGTGAATGAGAAAGCCACTATGGTGGACCATTTGCGTGGCATGACGCGCCGATGGGGTCGGCGCCGCGGTGCAGAACGTGATGCGGGCGCCGTCGCACAAGCTAGCGAAAGAGGTGGGACTGCTGCCGTCGCCAAGAAGGAGGTTCGGACTGCGACGGATGCCCAGCGGTTGCTGCTGCTGCTGCTGCTGCGAAGACAATGAGTGCGGCGGCGTAGTAGAAAAAAATGCCGAACCCAGAGATCAGAAAGGAGCAGCTGGTTGCATCTTCGCCAAAGGAAAGCTCAACTCGATCGTCTGCTGTCGTTGGAGGAAACGGGTAAACTGAGTGTTGGGAATGACGCACTGGCGGGCATCCGTGAGGCAGGTCCCGTCTTGGCATCGAGGGCGGCACACGCACCGCCTGCCACTGTCGTGAGAGATCATTGCGAATGCCCGACTTATCGGAGAAAAGGGGGTGGATGGGCGAAGTGGGGTGGGCCAGCGTAGGCCAAGCCAGGCGCGGGCCTTCCCCGTTGTCGGCAGTGCCCTCGTCCTCGCCTGGCTGGACTTACAGCAGGCTTGCGTGGATGTCGCTGCCTGTAGCTGCAGCGTCGTATGTCTTCATGGCGTAGTCCATACTGTCGACAGCATGGCAGCACTCCTCCTCGCTGGTGCCCATGATCGCTTGGATGTCGGAGCGAACGACGGGGCAACTGGCGTCGAAGGCGGCACCCTCGCCGTTGATATTGCTGCCGTCTGCAATGATGATGATGATGATGATGATGATGATGATGATGATGATGATGATGATGATGATGATGATGATGATGATGATGATGATGATGATGACTATGATGATGACTATGATGATGATGATGATGATGAGGATGAGGATGAGGATGATGCTGATGATGATGATGATGAGGATGAGGATGAGGATGAGGATGAGGATGATGATGATGATGATGATGATGATGATGATGATGATGATGATGATGATGATGATGATGATGATGAGAAGGAGGAGGAGGAGGAGGAGGAGGAGGAAAGGAGGAGGAGGAGGCAGGAGGCAGGAGGCAGGAGGCAGGAGGCAGGAGGCAGGAGGCAGGAGGAGAAGGGAGGAGGAGGGAGGAGGCGAGAGGATGAGGATGAGGAGGGAAAATATGATCGGGGGAGGGCGATTGACAGAGGGAGGGAAGGAGGGACGGAGGGAAGACGGGCCACTTGGCCCTTGACACGCGGCGCGCCCCATCCCAGTTGGAGGGCCCGACCCGCCGCCAGCACAGCCGTCGCTGCTCCCCCCCGGTTGGGCCTGCGGCCCAGAGTGCTGCGGTGCTTTCGAGATACTGCCGTGGGCAATGCGCTGGTTGTGCGCATGCGCTGGGCGGGCCTGGCGATAGTTTGCAGTCCCCACAAGCGTTAGCAGTTGGCGTCTCCGCAAGGCCCATGTTAGCATTCAGCTCCCAGTCGGTGCTGGCGCCTTGCACCGCTGTCACAATCTACGATTCCAGCTCCAACTTGCCCGTGGTGGCAGAATACTGCTTCGTCGTTGTGCCAGCAAGCCTTGAGCCCGAGTGGCTACGGAGGAGGAGGAGGGGGACGGAATGGGGTTGATACGTTAGAGGGCACAATCAGGAACGGCTGCCCCATCCTCTTTGTGTCCACTTCAATATATTATTAGCGCACCTGCTGCCCCTTTCACAGTTGGGGCTGGCGGAG